TTGTTTCTTCTTCACTGCTCAGTGTCTGTGCAGTGACTAATCAGGTAAACCCAACAATCTTAAATGTGTTACATGCCAAATAATGAATATTTACCAAATAACAAATTTTTACCAAACATTTAATGAGTATTTACATTAAATACAGAACCACATGCAGATCTGGTTTTGCTGTCTTCTGGAGCACTTGATCAAAAATTTATTTTTCTTGATTTGGGTTCAATTGCATACAATGCCCTTATGTGCTCACACAACCTCATTTCTCAAAGTATTCAAAAATGGAGTCTATGTGAAGTGTTCCACCCAAGAATGTGTACATGGGATTTTTATTTTCCTGAGGCTATTGCCATAGTTTCTTGGCAACAAAACTACATAAACTAAACTAATTAAGGATTTAAAACACACTGCTAGACAATTTAGAGCCACACTCTGAAGGTTAATTAAAAAGAAATGAGAAAAGGCAAAAAAAAAAAAAAGTATATGGTAAGAGTCAAGAACCACAAAATGTTTTTTAGGTTTAATTACTTTGTTCCCTTAACCAGAAGATATTAACAACACGTAAGATTTATGGTCACATTATATAGTAGTTCAAGTCAGTACAAGTAGTACAAGTCAGATCCAACTCCCAATAAGATCTCATTAGAAAGAGGGAGGGTAAGATTCCATGGGCCTCTAGTTTTCATTATCCCAAAGAAGAAATGATGGATAGAAAACTCAAGTCAGGATTCCAGATAGAAAATTTACAAAAGCATGCATAAAGAACTGATTTCTTTTCGAGTAGAAATTGTGAGCTAACATTAAGAGCACATAGGTCAATAATCTGTTTTTGAATAACTAATCTATTTTTGGTTTATCAAACAAATCTTATAAACAGTTATAATTGTTCCTAAAATTCGTAAGAGACCAGCGTCCTAAATGAAAAACACAATCACTGTTAGAGACACTGACCCCTCAAATAGGGTGAGAGCAAGAAATTTGGGAAATAAACTAGTGCTAAACCCTGCCTTCACCCTGTGGATGTGGGCACAATACATAGACCATGAGCTTTCACTTCAAGAATAGCACAGGGCAGCAGGGATAGAGATAAACCTCAAGGCTTGGTCAAGACGAACAATATGATAGAAGACAGTACATAAAAGTATAACCCAGAGAGCTCTACTCTCAGTGTAATGGGGAGTGCAGAGTGGACAGCTAGATAAAAAGACTCTACAGATGTTTGGATATTTAAAAACATATTTCTTAATAATTAACCTAAAACTAAACAAAAATAATGCATATCATAGAGGACCACTAGTACCATAGTTATGCAATACTTTTCTGGAGACCAGTTATAGCAAGATACAGAAAAGAAATGAAAGGTGTAAGAATTATAAGACTTACAAAGAGAGAATCAAAAATCTTATTTGCATATATGATTATCTACATAGAAAACCCAAAGGAATATACAGGCAAATTATTAGAACTAATACAATAGCTTAAGAAAGGTTACTAGATATAAAATACATAGAATTCAATTGCACATTAGAAAAATATAATTAAAAAAAATACTATTTATAATACTTATAATGTAAACAAAAAATCTAGATGGAAATCCCACATATATAGATATTCAAGTCTTTTGTGAACAAAACTATAAAACTATGTTAAAAGACACTGTAAGTAAATGGAGAGATATACCATGTTAGTCGTCTCTTCAACTGATCTATAGATTCATTATCCTGCCAGTTAAAATCCCAATAGGGTTTTCTTTCAGAGTTGAGCAAGTTGATCCTAAAATTTGTATATAAGAGCAAAGGGTCTAAAATGAACTGCCATAGTGGTAGATAAGTACACCAAGAGAACCAAATCAAACTCAAACACACATAGAAACTTAACTTATCATGAAAACATACTGAAGTAGAAAGAAAAGACAAACTGTTAGAAAGGTAGTGTTAGAACACTTGGAAATACCTGAGGGAAAAAAGAAAAGAAACTGGATACCTGCTTCACATCCAACCCTAAAATCAATTCCAGGTGAATAAAAGTCTTAAGTGAGAAAGGCAAACGTTTTAGAAGACATCTAGGAAACACCTTTTTGTCTTTGGTGTGGAAAAGAATTTCCTTAATAAGACACAAAAGGACACAAATCAAAAAGGAAACGATGGATTTTAAAAAAATGGGCTCTGAAAATGAAAACTTCAGTTATTTAAAGGATATAAAGAAAGGGAAAGAAAAGCCATAAATTAGGAAAATATATTTATGAAACATAAATCTGCACAGGAATCCTGGAAGGTACTGGCCATGTGTGGCTATTTTAATTCAAGTTAAAATTAATTTAATTACTCAGTAGCTTTAACTACATTTCAGGCACTCAGTAGCCACATGCAACTAGTGGCTGCTGGGTTAGCATTATACCACTGGAACAGCCCGAGAATCACAGAAAGTTCTCTTGGACAGAGCTAGTCTAGAACATGTATAGATGTTTTAAACTTCTAAAATACACAGGCAACCTAATTTTAAAAATGGATAGAGATATTAGCAGTCATTTAACAGAACACAGAGACAAAAAGGTATCATAACATGTAAACCATACTCATTTCAACCTCATGAGTAATCAGAGTAAAATAAACTCATTAGATACTGTTTTATAGAATTTGAGACCTAAGAGCTAAGCAGTTCCCTAAAGATTTCATCCTGCGTGTTGACAGGGTCCTGAGTTATTAATCAAATAAGAAGATATCATGAGTCTGTTTCCTCACTATAAAATGAGGATGTCTCCTGTCAATTCAACCCACCAAAGTGTTGTAATAGTGAAGTGATAGCAAAGTATTGAGTAAATATTCAAAACTAAGCTTTTATTGTTGTTGTTACTGTTAGGACCAGAATATTGAAAGGGTCTGGAAATCATGTCACAAAAGAAGAAATTATTTGAGCCAAGGTATTTTAAAAGTTAGGCAAAATGATAACGGCATGATAATAATCTCCAAGTACTAGATGCAAAAGAGGCAGATGATTTTGTTCACGGTTCCTCCAGAGGGCAGATTGGAGAGACTAGAGCAAGGTTAAAAGTATATTCTGGGTCAATTTAAAAGAGAACTTCTTGACAATCAGAGAGAGGAGGCAACTTACTCTGTGGTAATTCTCCTTCATCTGAATTATTCAGATAAGTTATTCAGAGTTTAGCAGGGAGGCCTGTTTTGGATGAAAATACAAAACTTTCAAATAAACTGTTAAAAATAGAGATAGCGTAACATTGCATGAAACTAATTTTGAAAACTAGCTCTCTTAATAATCATGAGGTTATCGGTAACTTACTTTACCTCTTGCAGCTTCAGTTTCCTCCTCTGGAATAAGGATAATATTTTTCGCTCAAGGTTATTTGGAAAAGTCAATCATGATAATGATAAGAGACTGAAATTGCCTAGCACCGGTGTTTCTTATGTGCTCAATCAGCTGCTATAATTTAAAAAAATTATTATGAAAGGCTTCCAAACTCGTTCCCAGAGAGATAAATAAAGCAATGACACCAGTTGCAGAAAAAAAAACAACTTTTAAGTTTGAAAAAAGCTGAAGAGCAATTTGTATCTGTTACTTCAAGGAAAGCAACAAAACCGATATCCCTGTATCAGTTTCTTTAAAATGTTATCAAATAGCCTTTGGTCTCCCAAAAAGTTTCCTCAAATATGCTTTGGCTAGGAATCTTCCCTCCTCTAAAAAACACTTTAAATTTCATGACTCTAAAAGCACTTTCCAGGTTGCAGAAATAAAAATAAGACAGGAATTATGAAGACTTGATATAGCAAACCACATCATATTCATAATTCAGGTCATTAGTTTTAAAAAATATCTAAAGCTAAGAAAAAGAGTACATATATAACTACTCATATCCTCTAAATTTAACCTGCAGAAACCAATTAAAAAAAAACAGGAAATGCTGAACTTCAAGATTAAACCACAGTAATTTGTTATAAATATCTGCTCTATAAATAACTTCACTCTAATGGCACTTGCCAAGGTTTTTCCTCTTGTACAGCACCTCTGAAGTTCAGATCAAGTCAAGCTATTTTCCTTGTATAGCATAAAAATAAAAAATAAACTCAGAGAGACTTTAACGTGTGTGTTTTACTATAGTTATCTTTCATTGTGTGAAAGCACTCTGCTACACTCTGCTTTTTCGCTTGGTCCTGTTTTTTACTTAAGTTTCCAACCTAGCTTCAAATTACCAGGTGATGGTCACACAGGGTAATGAAGTTGGTGGATTAGCTGAAATTAAAACCCAGAATCCTCTTTACCACCCTTCTTTTCAAGCACAGATCAATTATTTATAACCAAGTTCACCAACACTATGTTTTAATTCAGGAAGCAATCCATTTGAAACCAGCTATAAATAAAGTAAAAAGAATCTGGTCTCAGAGCTTTTTGACCCCACAGTGTGTGGGGAAAAGATGGGAGGAAAGAAGCAAAGGGAGAATACAAGAGGAGGGAAAAAAAATGAAAGAAGCCAATATTCACTTGGCCGCTTCTATGCCAGAACCTTCCACATAAAGGATTCACTTATTCTAAGTTAATTTGACATTATTTAATTCTCACAATCATATAAGAAAGGTATTACATTCTCCTTATTTAAAGCTGAGAAACTGTAGCTCAATAAGGCCAAACTGTGCCATTACCAAGGGTCATGGAGGAAGTAGGAAAACCAGAATTTGACCTGAATCCTTTATCCTGTATCAGATGAAACAATTTCTAGTATTTTAAAATTTGAAGTTTAGGAATTTTCAAAAGAAAAAGGAATTGAATTATTTCCCAAGTATAGCACAAATAGCAAAAAACTACCCATATAACAATTATTTCAACTGCCTCTAAGAACTCATGTGAGGTTGTCACTATTATGATTAAAATGCATATGAAATCATATACGGAGAAAAACAGGAAGCCTCACATGGAGTTTGCTGGGAAAAAGTAATGAAACCACATCCAAAAGCAAGGAAGACAAAGAGACTGTCAAGTACCAAATAACCTCTTACCTGCTGTACTTCACTTTCTCCATTTGAGATTTTCTCAGTGTAAACAAAGGAGTTGAATATCCGCTGCAACACAAAGAAAATGAATAAACATTAGACTTTCTAAATATATATAAGACAGCCATTTTCTCTATGAGTGTGTTTGTGTGAATAATTTGTTTACAATGCAACAGAATCAAGCAGAAAGAATTTAATTAAAATACAGTTACTTTACACAGAGAAATCCAACTATCAGCCAAAGTCAATCACATTTATATAAGCAATACCCAGGCACTTCTGCAGTGAAATAAACCAGATGTTACACTGTATTTTTCATTTTCAAAAATACATTTAATTACAGAGTTCCGGAACCCATGCCATTTTATCCGACTGGTATAATTTGACAAAGTTGTGTTTCTCATTTAAATCCTGCACTCCCTGAATGCTGTAATTGTTTACAGACACTACAATCTAATGTAATAAAGCTCTTTAAAGAAGATTCTTTCCATAGTCTCTCATGTCCCTGTCTAACCAGTACCTACCCAATATTATCTATCACCTTCATTACCCAAGCACCCCTCAGGACAGTAACATAATAGGGCTTGCCAAATATGTGTGGCCTTAAGAGAAGATCCCGTTCTTACATGCCTGGAAATACGACAGCCATGCCAAGACATTAGTCCAAAACTGGGGCACACAGGCACACACATTATTCTACCGTTCTCTGCCCAGTTAGTACCCGCTCCTCCCCATATTGCCTACATTTAAAACATTTCTGCAGACTTATGCTTTACCAAACCCTACCATTACTAGCAATCGTAAGAGATTAACATGTAATAAACTAAAGGAAAATGTAAGAATCCAAGATATGCATCTGTTAGAGGTGCAAACAAAGAGCAGTAACCTCATCATTTATCCTAAAACTTTATAAAGATTCCACTGGAACTCTCCAGAGGAGTAAGAAGTCAGACCTAGGAATGTCCCTTTTTCCTTTCTATCCTATTGCCAAGGATTTGTCAGCATCTGGAACAGCTTCCCAGACGGCCTAACACACCTGCATCGCTGTGCTACGGAAGACAAGTGTCAGGTTCATCAAGTGCTGTGCAAATGAAGGAAGATCAAGGTGCTGGGGCTGGGAGAAGAGGCGGGGGGAAGGGAGTGGCGATAGAAGCATGCAAACCTGGGAAGGAATGAGATGGGATGAGATGAATTGTAGTCTGGAAAACTAATTATGAATTGCCATAATTTTCCAACATGCCATTCATTAATTTAACAGGTGTTTATTTTCTCTTTCCTAAAAATGACTGCTGATAGGAAAGTTACAGAACATGGTGAAAATGACGTTGGCTACTATTTATTGAAGGCTTATAAGGGGCAGACATTATTCTAAGCATCTTTCACTCATTTAAATACATCTCTTCACTTATTGAGTTTCATAAAACACCTTTGTGACAGGCATTATTATTGACCCCATTATACAGATAAGGAAACTGAAGCATAATTTACTGAGTGCCTTATGAGACACATACACTGTACCCCATGTGCATATCTTATTTAATGTTCATAAGAAAACTAGTGCAGCTCCAAAGATGAAAAACTAAGACCCTGGGAAGTTAAATAACTTATCCAAAGTCACTTGGCAAGGTTGGAATCTGAACCCAGGCAGTGTGGCTCAGTCTGGTGCTCCTAATTCTATTGGCTCATAAGAATGGTTGCTTGCCACATACAAGAAACACTCTTCTTTGGTACTAACACCCAAACATAACTCAGATCATCAATTCCCTTTGTGTTGTTCCGAAATTCAAAAGGCTCTGAAAACCAAGTTTTGCTTAATATGCTTGTTAGCAAAAGATGATATGACCTGAACTTCTTTTACAGTAAATCCAAACTTGAATTGATGTGTATTTATAGTCTTATAACTACATATTGTATATATTCATTAGTTTTGATGCAGATTACAGAGATCTGCTCCAGATCTCACTGGGG